GAATAATAAACCTTTAATTGCAGGCAAGCAATTTTATGTCAAAATAAATCAGAACTTGGGCACAGTGATAGCATTTATCCAACAATGCCCTTGATTTTGGTACTCATTCAGCATTCTTTATATTAAGTTTTAATGCAAAGTATCTGAAGCATATCGTTAATTCAGATGTTAGATACAACCCATACAGAATGAAATGTTCCCCATTCTCTCCCCTTTCTTTTTTTCCTTTCAACCCATAGAGGCCTTATTTTTACAGTACAGCTTCACTTTTTTGATCTCTAAACTAAGAGAAAAACTGAGCCAAATAAAATAAAACCCACGTGTAACAAGCACAGTTGATTGCTGAGGCTGAAGGGTGAAATGCAAAATGACTTCTTGTTGCAGGAATGTTTTGTTAAGTGTTGGGAAATATTGCTCTCTGAAGGAACTATGCTTACTAAATGATCTTGAACAATATCATATCAAAAGACTGATGACCGTAATTTAAGAGTGGGACATCTTAGTCTAGAATAGAGTAAGAAGTATCTTTGTTAATTTATTCTAGTTTCAGTGCTCGTTAAACAAAACGTGACCTGTTCTGAACCCCAGATTCATTGAGAAGTAATATAAAACATTATTAAAGGACAGACATTGGATAGCAAAAATCCCACCACTGTGTCAACACTCAGACCCCTGAATGTCTCAGGCAGCCCTTCCCAAAGGTCTATAGATGGCAAACTTCCCTTCATGCACTACCAGAAGACTGGCTCAAGCACCTAAAGTGGTCTGAGCTGCAGCCTGTGGTGTTTTCTTACCATTTAAAGGCAGATTTTTTGGTCCTTGCAATACACTGGTGTGTTCATGGGAGATGTTCTAGCCAGTGAGTAAGATGCTGCTGAGGGGACCCTGGTGTAGGAAGTCAGGTCTACTGCACCTATGCTAAAATCTCTACCATAATTACTAACATTTGCCTCAATTGGAAGGTGGACAAGGTTATTGATATTACAAGGTTATTGGTGTTACAAATCAAGGGAGGACAATTATAGTGACCACCCAAAAAATATCAATCTGAAGAGAATGAAGCAGTTCTTACTTTCTGTATGAGCATGGGAAACAAATCAGAGGAAAATTAGGCAATGTCACCTAAAAAAAATTCTGGTGGCCAATATTTTAAAATGTCCAGAACCCCAAGCTCAACCACCAAGCCCCCATCCCAACATTGTAAAAATTATGCAGATTTTGAAAATAAATTGCAGATGTTCTGGCAAGAATTTAGAACCAAAGATATGAACAGAATCTGTCTGCTTTTCTCATCTACCTCAGCTACTTATCTCACCATCTACAATGCCTTATTACATACATGTATACACATGTAAATACATATACATATGTATTTAAATTAGGTAATGAAAACAGGTAGAAACTTAGAAATAAATCACAAAATAAAATCAAGCCTGTAACATTGTTGTTTCAGGTTAAACAGAGATTCACTGTATCACCAGCATACTGGCACTGGCAGGGACTGAAGGTGAGTAGAGAAAGAATCAGAATGAAACACAGAAAGTTCAGAACATTATCAGAGCACTATCCTTCTTCAAATATATATATATATATATTTGCACATAAATGTTATTCTGTATATATGCCCATAAATGTTATCTTAAAATTTCAAATGTCAATACTAGTATCACTATAGCCCATATTTTAGCTGTTATTAAGCTAGCTCTAATTTAAACAGAGTATTTCAAAGTCCAAGCAAGAATTAAATTTGAGTTGGGATATATTTAGGAATAATGCAGTTCTAAACATTTCAAGTTAAAATCTTTTCTTCATGAAGTAAAATGGAGTCTAATCGGGATTTCATTATTAAAATTGAAATTATTTGTCTGGTTCTGCATTTAATTGGGCTAATTAATGGCTGGACTAAGCATAAGTTGTTTTATTTCCTAGGAAAGGACTCTATGTACCATATTTTACAGGAGCTATATTATTTGGTATATGTTTAATGTTAACTTCTAGTGAAAAAGTTGTGAGATGAAGAGGACATCTTATTTTACACAACCTGTTTCACAATTAAGCCTCTTTGAAACTAAGATATTTAAATGAGCAGAACTATCTCGCTTGTTTTGTTCATATGACTTTTATATAATCCACCTATGGCTGATACTTCTTGAATTCATGCAGCCTCATATTCTTGATCTCTCTTTAAAGATTAATTTATAATTAAAACTGAAATACACACAGCAACCTACACACACAGGTATAAAGTTCCCTTAACAGAATTTTAAGGTTGCAAGTTCAAGAACTCGGAGGATATAGAAATGAAAGAATCAAGACTGCCAGTAAATTCTCAAGTTGTACCTCTTTTTTAAATATGATTAATATTTAGTGATCTTCCTCTCTTCTTTTTTTCTGTTCCCACTAAGAATTTTTCCAGAAGTTTTTCTTTGGGCAGCTCTGGAAAGTAGTTCCTCCAGCTCAGGAAGCCCACTGCTAAAGTTCTAGATTTTATTTAAAAACTTGAAGAGATTTACCAGCTCATATTTTTTCTTAATATTGATCATTAATTAGCAGTTGAAGCATGGAAGTTATGTATAGGCATAGAAGTGCCTTAGCTTGTAATCTATCATGGAAAAATCCAGCCCAAATAAAACTGGAAAGGGTTATAAGGCACGTCACACGTCAGCAGTGAGAAGTTTTGGACAGTTTGATGTTAATGGGAGCTGGAACTGACTAGTTCTGCCTGAACTGCAATCTGTAAGGAACATAAGAAAATAGAGAACCTAAATTCATTACTGGTTTGGTAGGTTTTTCTTGTCTTTTTTCTTTCCAAAGCAATTTTCAACAGCCTGGAATATCTGTGTTCTTCCTTGTCGTAGACAGCTCTGGAAATCTGACACAAAGGATAAAGTGCAGAAGAAGAAAAGGTTGCCAACTGAGTGGCATTTTAGCTGTTTTCACTTCTCTGAAGTAGCCTATAGCTCTTAAGGAGGTTATAACCCTTCTCTGAGCCCCAGACAAATCAGTTTTTGATCCAGCATGATTAGAATATGCCATATGAAATGGGCAGAAACTAATCATAGGCTGAAGTCCAGTCTGATAAACATTTTGAGCCTAGAAGTACCCTGAAAAGTGCAATATTTATTTAGAAAATTGCAGAAGAAAAATATTGCATCTTTTTATTTTGAACAATTAGCTTCAAAATTGACCAAAACACAATTCAAGCATCTGGTATGGCTGAATGGCCACACACTGCACCAGGTCAATATGTGGAAAACACTAAAACACTGGAGTCTCCATCTACCAGGTAGGGAAAAAAGTAATCTATTTAGTGATAATTTAACACTATTCTTACTTACGAATTCTCTGAGTTCATTGCAATCAATCTGCCTTGGCTTGCTAAAGAACAAAATGCAAACAGATTCAGCAGTAAAGAACGTGACCTCATCAACTTGAATACCTGCCCTACCTTGTGGCTGTCATTAACCCATAGTTATTGACCAAAGGGATCATAAAAGTTTTTTTGCAATTAATGACTGATGGTGAATTTTAAAATCCAGAGGTATGTATGTTAAATTAGTCAGTGACAGTTACCATGCCCATGTTTATTCAGTCTTTATTTATTGTGAAATATGAGATGACATATTTTACTTGTCACTGTGGAAATATTAATATAATGAGTGGGAAGAAAATAGAATAGTTGAAACATAGTTAAATTATAATTAGTACTAATTATTACAGTAAAAGCAACCTTCAGGATTTTGGAGCCAAAAATGCTGATTCAGGCTTTGAGTTTGAAAATAAAAATGTAACATTCAATTTATATGTGGATTTATATGTCAGGTTTTAGATTGTGGTTCAAAAATACCCGGGAAAGCATGTAAACATATACATGATTAGCACTTTTTTGGATAAGGGCATGGTACAGTAGAAATAATATAAACTTTATAGTAAAATAACATTAAGATTATGCTATAACTAAAGAAAAAATAATAAGCTGATGTCAAAGACACTGATGACATTAAAAGGAAATTACAATTTCCCATTAAACTAAGGCATAATATTATAAGTTCCATAAGAAAAAGAAATTACCTAAAACTTGACTCTATATGTGCAGAATTTTACCCAATGTAGATTTACTTCTTTGTAGAGCTATTCAAATTCTTCTTTGTTTGCAATGTATTTGGTGAAATTAGTTTATGAGTTTTCTATAATATACTATGCTTCTTGTTTAAAAATTTTTTGTCACCACTGTTTTTAAGATCCCATTTTATCAGTGAATATTTGAAAAACTGCATTTTGTTGGCATTTAAAATTGCAGAAAAATATATAAATTGCAATAACTTCAAAGAGATTTCAACTTGGTATAAGCAGATTTCTAATGCTGATTAAAGCATTGAAACTTATGAAGTGTTTCCACATAAAAGAATTTCTTTTGTTTAATTAAAAATAAAATTAATTTTTTACTCCTTAACATAAAAGTTGTCAAAAATGTCTGCATATAGCTGTTGTTTTGAATAAATCATAGAATCATAGAATTGTAGAATTGCAGAGTCATAGAATCATGGAATGGTTTGAGTTGAAAGGGACCTTTAGAGGACCTTAAATTTAGCCACCTGATCTTGTTGCAGAAGGAAAGAAAACTGGGTGAGAAAATGCAAACTATCAATTTCACAGCAAATTAGACAGCATTTCAAGATGCAATATTGTAAAGTGCCAGAAAAATATAAAGGTGAAGGCCTCATGAAAATCAAGATGGAGACCTGATAACCCAGTTCCTCAGGGAATGACTGACTGTGACTTAACTGCTGCAAAATGATGGTGCATGTTATAAACGAATTTATTTCAAAATTATATAAAAGAGAAAGCTATATATTTCAGTACCTTCATAGTAGATTCATACTTTTAGGTGTGAAAGTGCCAGGTACCATACCTTTTCTGCTGAAGAAATGTAAAATGTGTCATCCTTTAAAATTTCCTCATATGGTAACTAGCATGTACATGGTTGAACATTAGTTTTCTTATCCTTTAGACTCCTGGGTCTTGATGTAAGGTAGGTGAGTATCAGGGTGTCCAAAGGAAGAGGAAGAAGAAGCTTTAGCAAATGGAGATACATGTCACCACTGAGGGGTTATGCATGTCACTTGCATTTTAAGTACTTGAAATTACTCACCATCTTCTCTAGATCCTGCTTTGTAACCAGCTGCTGTTAAGAGACAAGTATGATTTTAGTCATCAGTTAAACACCATCATTCATCCTTAATTTCTATTCAATTCAAGGTTAATCATAATTTCTTGATACGTCAAGGAACAAAACAGGGCTGACTTGCTTCTTAGAAGAATTGGGTACCTTAGAGAGTAAAATAGAAAAGTAAATGCCTAGTATTTATTTCATTCAAATTCCATTATCATGAATCATCTCTCTTTCTCTGTCTCTATATGTATGTGTGTATATGTGTATAAAAGAAGAAAGCAAGGGAAAATGCCTGTTATTACTTTGACTGCCATATATTCATTCAATTTGGCAGCACCTGAAGGACTTCAAGACTCATGAAGTAGAAAGTGTAAAATGTGTTTTTAAATCTTCATGCTTCATCTGTTTTTAAATTAAAACAGCTATTCCAAATTTTCCATTTGTATTCCTCAAAAAGTGACTTGCTTTTTGGTGAAGGTATGTTTCATTATGCTCCTTATTTCTTTAGTTAGTTAAATCTACTACCTTCTGTAGCTCAAATATATTTTTAAACTTGCAGCATTTGCAGTGGACCTATGGATGGAGAAGATAATATTTTAGTAAGTATGTTTAGCACTCCATTGTTTATATAAGGATATATTTTTCAAATTTCTATAAATGTTTGTTATGAAGTCAATCACTTCACTGTCAGAGCAATAAATGTATGTCTAAATGGTCTTTTTCAGGCTGATGTTCCCTTGCTCTGCTCACGCCATGGGTCCAGCAGGAGCTGTGTGGCCCAAACCAATAGACTGTCAAGCTCGACCATTAAATCCACCCACACGACTTTCATTTTGTTCAAAACATTTGAGGAGCAAACAGAGGCCTGACTCCAGAAGACCTTGTAAATACTGCTGAGAATATTATCTTGAGTCTATCTGTGTGTTAAGTAATAACTGGAACAAATAGTACAGTACTGTGTTGCCACTTACAGACAGTTTTGAAATACTGTAACCTCTATTTATAGATCCTGAGGGGGAAGAAGTCAATCCTGAATTGTCCCGAAAGATGTCTTTAGCCTTGAAGTCTACTTAGAAATGTTTAAAGTTAATGAAAGTTTTTGGAAAACCTCAGCCATCCATAAATTTGCAGAAGAAATCAAGTGTCATCCTGTTTGGCTTTCAGATACCATGGGTTGAGCATTGACAGCTTCTCCTCTTCTTAGTCTCTCACTTGTCTCCTTGAGTGGAGCTGCACTGCTGGTTAGACTCATAGGCTTCCCAGAAAGCAGACAGGAGCGCAAATATGCACAGGAGAGCTTCCCTGCTGAGGGGGACAGAGAACCTGCCTTGACTGAAGCTCCCCTTCCCAAGACTTGGTTTTCTATTTTAGCTGATCACAGTTTAATGCAGAAGGCAGAAATGGTGCTGGGAGTTAGAAGAGGAATTCAAAGTCTGTTTCTGTCACACTAAGTACTAAACTACATAATTATATGTCCTTTTGGTCCCTTATTTGCTACTGTAAAGCACAGGTTTAGAGACAGGCATCAGCTCCTCACATGTCTCTAATGCTTGGCTAAATATCACCTTGCCCCTATGTCAAGCAGTCCTGTATCACCAAGATACTGAAACATGCATCTATCTTATGCACACATTTAAGAGGATAATTTAACATAATTTTTCAAACAAACACTAGAACAAGAAGAGCTCTGTAGTCTTGGGAGGTCAGATAGAAAATTAATTTCAGATGTGCCTGGTTTATTCCTCAGTGGCTTGTGCCTCTAGATAGGCACTGAACATGTACTTCTGTGCCTTCTCATATGCAGTCTCATCCAGCTTGCTTATGCAGGAACGGTATAATTCCAGAGGTGCAAAACAGACATGTAGTGAAATCAGTTGTTTTAGTGAAAGACTCTTGGGTAAGCCATGTTAAAAATGCAAAGTCAATTTGGTGTAAATAGTGTAAGTCAACCTGGATGTTTCTACCAAAAACCTTCCACATTTAAACTTCTTAGTTTAAAGTATTTTTTCTCCAAAATTGTTATCCCACTCCAATGGTGAGGTAAAAGGTGTTAGTTTAAACAACTCAAAGGCCAGAAAGAGGACAGATTCACACTCAGGAGTGGCTACAGCAGTGGGAAAGCACTTGCTGCAGAGAACAGCTCCCTGTCCACACTGCCCAGCACAGGCCTTTCCCTTGCTGGGATGCCTTGTTGTATCTCTCTGTAGGTTTCCCGTCATTCCAGCTGGTGACCCTACTCTCATTTGTAATTCCCGCAAGATGCATCCTTTAAAGACCAAGGTATTTCGTAACTCTTATGTAACACCAGTGATATTATCAGAAATAATAGGTTCCCTTTCCTTTTTAAACATGTTTACAAACAATTTTTTAAAAATACTAAAATCATTGGATTGCTAAGACAATTAGAATATAAGCTATTGTTTTAGATAAAGGAAATGTCATATGCAGCCAGCAGGACACCTAGCAGGAAACTCAGACCCTAATGTAAATTTTAAAGTTAAAAACAGGGTTTCTAGGTAGAGATTCAGTTTCTCCCTTTTAGGGCTCAGCTACAATAGAAGGATACAAAATAGGAATATCTCATCCGTGTTAGGATGGCCACACAGTAATCACCTCCTTTGCTCACTGGTGGAGGAAGAGGTGGAAACTCTTAAGTAGAAAAGAAGCTCTTGTAAACAGTTGGCAAGTGCTGCTGGTGAACAAACTGAAGATGGAGGATTTTGCAAAACAATGGAAAAGAAGTCAGGAGTTTCACATTAGAAACAGTCTTCATTTAGCACAATGACAACTTTGCATCTGACCAAAACACACTCTGCATGTTTGATGCAGAAATAGACATGTTTACATTGTTTAATCAAAGATAGGTTTTGGTACACATTTTTCATGCAATCTGCAGAGTTTGTGGCCGAAAATCTTTGGAATAGGTTACAACTCTAACAAATGTTTCCATACATTCAAGCAATCTTTTTTAAAGCAAAATCATTCCCTGTATTCCTTTGTCACTGGCTTTAATATGTGGCTGTGTTGAAGAGGCTATGCGTGTCCCATGTAGAGGAACTGCTAGTATCTGGCTAAAGGAGATTGGCACAGGCGAGTGTGATCTGGCAAAGAGCAGATCCTTTACTAATGAATCAGCATAAGCAGTTTGGTTTGGACAGAAACAAACTGCAGAATGCCAGCACAGCAGGAGCACTTTCTTGAATACATCAATGGTATTCCTTTCTGTATGGCATGGCAGCATTCTTTCCAAGAATTTCTAGGCCTGTATTCTTACTTTTCAAAGCATTTTTAAAAACATACAACCCTTGTTCTGAATGTCCTGCAACGAACAAAAAGGGGTGTAAATATTAGAAACATAAAAATATTAAGATCATCAATCACACAAAGCATGAGCATAGATGGTAACAGTGTCCCCTGTACTTAAAATATACATGTTGATGTTTTTTTCTGGGGAAGCAGATATGTTAAACAGTCTTGTTTCCTCTATCTTGGTACTTAAAAACAATATTTTTTTTCATAATGTTTTATTTCCTTTATAACTAAGCACTAAAGTACTACTTATACTATTGACATGTACTAGATTTCAGCTGCATCAGTAACTGGGGCGTAGTTTTGCCTATTTCAGTAGAATGTGATAGAAGAATCAGAAGTAATATCAGAATAACTGAGTTATCTTACAGCGTTTCTGAGACTATGGATAAATTCACACATTCATCATGTGTGAAAGAATAGGAAAACAGAAGGTCAATGTGTTACTACTTATAGTAGAGTTGTTGTCCTTCATGTCCCAAGGCAGGAAAGTGCCAGGGAGTTGAAACCTATGCGTCCATCTCCACCTTTGTGAGGGACAGCCACAGCACACACCCAGGGGTGTGAGGACAATGAGCATGTGCACCAGCCCAACAGCCTCACGGTCTAGCAACCACAGCGGTGTTGGATCAAGGGTTGGACTTGATGATCTTGAAGGTCCCTTCCAACCCAGCTGATTCTATGATTCTACGATTCTATGATTCTACTTCCAATTTACTCAGCACTTTATGAATGGCCTTGTTTACAGAAATGTTTGAAAACTTTTAATCAGTCTCACTTCTTTGCATTTAAATTACATCTCTACCTTCATAAATCTCTGGTTTTTTGAAAGTTCCCTTTAATACGCAGAGCACTTCTGTATATCAATAATTACTTTTTAGTAGCCCAAAACAATTTCAGGACTCAAGTGGTGAACTGAAAAAGTTTGCATTCATTAAATCAGGTGATTCCCTTGTTACATTCCACCAGGATGGTGTTCACATTGGCATATCTATTTTAATTTATATTCATTCTCTGAAAACTTTCAGCAACATCTGATGGACTTTGGGGTCCCTTCATCTGAAGATCCCTATGGGCACTATTGGCCCAGGAACATCTATCCTCTCCAGTCTGGGAGGTCTCAGAGGAAGGGACATCAGGAGGAAATGCTCTGCAGGGTCTGTCTTACAGATGCTGCTTGACCTCATGTGAAATGACTAGAGGGACCAAAATTACTTGGTACACAAAACCATCACTACTTTGATAATAAACAACTCTGCTCCATTTTTAATGTTGCCCACCCACACCGCACCTCCCAACTGACAGATAATGCCGTTTATTTGTTCCCCCAGTGCATGAATGAGATGAATGAGGAAAAGAAATGGCTTTGCATGTTAAGGCAGGCTGTGAGACAGAACCTTCTACATACTGTGCATTTTTTTTTGTTGTCATCAATGCCTCCCAGATTCCTAGACATTCTTCAGTGGTTAAAATCCTCTTTATTTACAAAAGTTTCAATCTGACATAAAGCTCACCTTTGTGTAAGCATGGTTAGGTTGTTTTGTTGTGTTTGGTTTGTAGCTAACCTGACCTGCCAGTGAGGGAAGTGAAAGGTCACCCATGAGCTATTGAATATTTCTTCTGGCTGACAGGGATTTCAAAGAGTAGAGAAATTGAACCAGTTATACAGCCAATATACTAAATCTGGTTCTCATTCTGTCATTGCTGGAGCAGTAAAACAGAACAGCTTAAGTGGGTTTTTTTAATACTTTTTATATCAGAAGTCTAGATGTGGGACATTTATGGTAGACAGATCTTGGAATTTCACTTTACTTGTGGAGCCACTGGAATTGAAGCATCTTCAGAGTGTGATAGATCTCAAATTGTCCCTCGCGGTAGTGCTTAAGAGCATCTGTTGAGCATAAAGAAAGTGCTGACATTAGTAGAAAATTCAGTCTTTGGAATGGAGATAGTTACCATTCAGGATGAGAGAAGACACCTTGGAGAGAGTAGTTTAGAATTGAAGGCAGTAGGGGACTCTAATCCTGCACTGGAGTACCCTGCAAAGAAAAGATGATGCAACCAATTTCAAGGGTGATTTTCTTTGTTATTATAAAAAGTGGAGATCAAAGCATTTTTAATTCACCTGGAATTAAAAGATAATTAATTTAATTTTCTATTTTTCCCATGAATTTATGAAAAGCCTGCACCCTTCCCAAGCAACATAGTTTCTCTGATTCTCTGTGAAAAATGAAGTTTCTAACCTGACAGAGTATCAGCTAGTGGGAGCATGGCGACTCAGCAGTAATCTCCCACTCTTTTGAGAAAAGGGATTCACTGTCTTTGATTTTGTTTGTCTTGTTTTTTCCACTTTCTCCCTCAACAATTTTTCCACCACTTAATTCTGCTTTGACATCTCTATGCTGACAGAGAAGTTAAGATTGATGACCTGTTATGTTCTTCTGCTCAGAGAAGATGAATCAAAGTAATTGTCTTACTAGAAAATAAAAATAGTCTAATTTTTTTTCTCCCCCCCAGCCCTTCAAATAACATAGAACAAAGGAGTTCAGGGAGCAAGGAATGATATGGAAGGCAGTTGAATGTAATGTGGTGGTGGTGGTTGCTAAAAAAAAAAAGGGTAGCTCTGGGTATCTTGCCAGTTTGTTCAGACTGAGGCTTAGCTCTCAGCTTTGGAGGAACTAGCTGAGTTTTTGAGTTCACAATGTAAACAGCTGTCAATTTGCTTTTGTAACCAGAAGTAATACAATTTTAAATAGCCAAACTATTTTTACTTTTATAATTGATCCTGGGTATATTTCTTGTCTTCTTCCATTCAATGTCAGTTAAGAAACATGTAATCATTGGAGACCAAGCTATAGTTATAGATAATAAAACCATTTAGCCTGCCGTTTTTTTTTTTAATGGAAAATGCCTCAGAAAGGTAGAAAAAAAAAAACCCAGTAAAATAAACCCATTTATAAGGATTGGTATAAAAATTGCTACTGTTTTTAGAGTAGCATTTTTTTCATATTTTTGGAAGATTTCTGTTGGAGCAGTCTTATCAAGGATGATTTACTGGAGTCTTTCTGCTGTGCCTTTTGCAACCGGACATGTCTACCTCATATTGGCCTTTTAAGCCACCAATGCGCTTGCAACAAGAGTGGGTAGTGCCTTTCCAAATCTTTGTTCGTGAAGCCCAGCCATGATGATGATGAGACTGCAGCAGCATTTGAGGGATCCCACCACAAATACTGGAAAGAGCAATCTTGGGCTCTGTCTTAGTTATTGTATGCGTTCTTGTATCTCTAGAAGCCATGACAGTGGTCAAAACCCTGAGGAATTTCACTGTGCTTCCTGGTAGCAGGAAATATCCTTGCAGTCTGTAACACATTTTAAATTTTCTTTTTGGTTTTCCTTTCCAAGATGTGAAAGAGTTTCCAGGGATTGGGAGGCAGTGTGTTAGTGTATGCTGCAAGTCCTCCAGAAGGAATCCAGCATCCATTGACCTCAAAGGGGTGGTGAGCAAACAGGGAGGATTCTGGTCTCCTATTCCCACATCTTCATGTAGTTCAGCATGCAGGTGCACATGGTTCGTGTGTACTTGCACTGCTAAATTATGCTTTATTTCCAGGAAAATTGTGTTGTGTTCTTACATCCATTTCACTCACTTGTCCCATCCTGTTCTACCCTGAAGCAAGGCTGAGCTGCAGCTCCTGCCGGCCAACTGCACCAAGAGGCTTCTGATTCTCCTCTGTCCTTCAGCTTTAGGTATCCTTGTTGTTCCTTAAGTGTCTCTTGAACATTTGTGCATGCCCTTTTCCAAACTACTATGTCGTCTGAAGCCACTTATTAAAAATAATCTTTGTTTTTACGGAAGTGCATGAAGATAGTGATGTTTTAACACATAGTTGAAGCAAAAACCTATCTGTATAGATGTGATCCCTTGCTAGCTAGGTGTACTCATGTAAAAGTACATTTGGAAATTTACTAAGGTTCGTTAAACATATTTGTGTTTCCAAGCAGAGGTTTTGATGAATTGCTTCCCAGTCTGATCATATGCATTTCGAGGACAGTAAAGTGGGGTCTGATCAAATTCCATTTAACATTTCAAATTCTGCATTAGTGCTGACATCTGCTGTTTATTCTTGCTGTATACATGTAACACAAGGTGGGGAATTGCTGCCTGTGTGTTTTTTGCTGACTCAATTTCATGTTTTATTTCTTACAAGGTAACATTGATAGAAATCACAAAGTACAGTAGAACCTCCATAGGTCAACAACTATTCCTATGGGATTTTGAGATGTGAAATAAGGACCTGACAACTAAGATGAAACTAAATTTTTATCCTTTTAAATTACTAACAATGCTTTTAAGTGGGGAAAGAGCTTGAGAAAGGTGGCCTAAGGAATAAAGGTGTCTACGTACAGTGTGGATATTTAGCATAGAACGTCCTTAGTGCATGGGTCACTTTTCTGTTACCATTTCTGCTAGCACTTTTCTGTTACTCTTTTTACAGGAGCTCCTAAAACGCTGGGGTCCTAATCCACAGCCAGCATAGTTGGCTGCTACTGCAGGGTGAAAGGGTTATGACAACAGTGCAAGAACCCTGTATCCTCATTCTGCTTGCCTGCTCTGAGTCAGACCCAGCAGCACTAGTCCAAGGAGTTTCAACTGCCAGCCTGGCCACAAGCATGGGTATCACCCCAAGACACCTGGGCAGGTGTCACCACTCAGTGTCACTGGGACCTGCAAGAAAGAAATAACTAGTGGGTGACACCGACTGGTTTCATATAGGTTATCATACAGCTTTCATAGCCATGTAGTCATGCCCAGCTGGGCTGGGCTGGATCAACAGGACTTTATGTGCTTTGTATTGCCAGGGAGCCTTAACTCCTCCTGCTCTTGCCAGTCATCCTCCCTTCCGACATTACCCAAAGCATACGTGTGGAATGAAACAGTTTTAGGTGATGAGATTTTCTCCTTATAAAAGACATCAGGGAGAAGATAAGGATGGGAGGTTCTGTGGAAATCTCAGATTTATCACCTCAATGCAACACATAAAACTTTATGTTTCTACTCTCAAATGAAAGCAAATCCTTGACTTAAACAAAGTGACCACATGTACTGCTCCAAATACAACCATGGCATCTGTTAACTGCATTCCCTTTATAAGGCATTGAAATTAAGTACACAAATATTTACAGTTGTAGGATTTGTTCTCTGTGTTAAGTACCATGAGTCAGAGAAATGCAAAATTTTCAGGTTAGTTTTAATACCTGAAAGGCTTTAAAATAACATTTAAACAATTTTTATCTGTGTTGTGGTATTTCAGTCCATTATAGTTTCCCTTTTCCAAACATTTCTTTTTGTGTAAAATTCTTCCTTTCCTTTCCCACAAATCCAGGATCCAGGTTTTTCAGAGATTTGCAATTAAACATTGAGAACTGGCAAAAGAATGCTTCAGCTTTTCTGAAAGATAATGCTAACTAGTGATGTCATTGCTGAGGGTCAGGTTTCTGGATTCTCTGGTGTTGGTCCTACTAACAGTTTTAAACTAAAAGAGGATAGATTTATATTAGATATAAGGAAGGAATTCTTTACTATAAGAGTGATGAGGTGCTGGAACCTGTTGCCCAGAGATGCTGTAAATGTACCATCCCTGGAAGTGCCCAAGGTAAGGTTGAATGTGGCTTTGAGCAACCCAGTATAGTGAAATATGTACCTACCTATGGCAGGGGGATTAGAGTAGATGATCTTTAAAGGTCCCTTTGAACCCAAGCCATTCTCTGATTCTATGATTCTTTAATAACTTCCTGTGACTCTGGCTGAAGTCAGTAGGGTTCCCTCAGGAGAAAGGATATAAGCAGGGTACAACATGAAAGAACTTTAGGTCATAAATTCAAGATAAAGCCAAAATATTAATCCCAGGAAAGCCATTCTAAGATGCTTTGCACTATAAGACCAGGATTTTTACTCTCAAAAGAGTGTAGCCATTAACTGTGATAAAAAGTGATAAAAAGACAATAACACGACTGGCACTGAAAATATCTTTTGGGGTTTTTTTGTTTTGTTTTGTTTTTTTTTTTTTTTGTATATGAATGAAATTAACAAGTACAGTCAGTCTCAAAATTTGCATTATTATGCAGAAATAGTAATAGAGAAATTTAGAAAAGTCACTTAGGTCCTATGAGAGGTTCTTTACTACTGTAAATTAGAAATAAATAGGTGAGAGGTGATGCTAATTGTTTTGGACTGGATGAGATCTGGGTCTTTAAATTACAATCCTAGTGAGTACAAACAGTCTCTCAGAAGTCACCGATGTTTTCATTAACCCAAAGCTGGGGCTGGCACAGTGCCTCCTTCCCAGGCACATGATGGGTTCTGGCCCAGGCTCTCTGCAACCCTGAGACCATGGGAGGGTTGGACATACTTTCAGCTGCCTATGAGCCCCCTTGAAAGGCTCGTATCCACTGTGATGTGGGGAATTTGCTTATGTGACTGAAGGTTTCTCTGGGTGCATATGGCCACGGTGCACTCAGGCTCCTTGCCCAAGTCATCTCAGCGGTGGTGTGAGTAAGGGAAAGAAGCAGATCCTTGTCTTGCTCTCAGTCCCTGCTCCACCAGCAACACTTCCTTTGTATAGGAGGTGGTTGCTTCTGTCTGTCAGTACAAGAACGTACTGTTCTCTCCCAAAGGGAGAGTGTCTGTAAGAAAGTTTCTTCATGAAGGCATTTCCACTGCATTTTAATTACGTGCAGCTTCAGCAAGTTGTGTGAGTTGCTT